TTTTAGCAGATAGCAATGTCATTTGGAAATGAACCCGGCAGCCTACAGTTGAGCAATGAAGAATTGCAAAAAATGCTGCTCAAAATGTCCAGTGATGACCGTGATGAACTTACAGGAAAATTGAGGCAATGTACTCAAGAGGTTTGTTTTTGTTGATGATTCATCAAATTATGATTTCTTATTTTGACTATCACTCATTGATGTTCAATGGCAACGGATTGTTACACAAAATTCGCTTTATTTCAACGGCTAAATCTTTTAGTTACTTGTAGAAGTAGGGGATAGGAGGAGTTGCTCGAACATATTTTCTTGAGGAGAGCCTATTGGGGTTTATGAACAGAAACAGGTTGGCAGATTCTTCAGTCGGTCCAAACCCCCTCGCTTACAATTATATCGCTACCGCGATGCTTTCTTGTACAATTTGGGATATGGTAGAATTGTCGAGCTCACATTAGTTTGAATTCGCAGCTGTGTAATTGTTATAAGACTAAAGAATCCGCGCTTGTTCGGAAGAAAAAAGAATTCATACTTATCATGATTATAAGAAAAGCAGTTTTTTTCTATTTGAAACCGATTTGCGACGTATGTCATGTACACCTGTATACATTCTTCCGAACTCTCTCTCCCCTTCAAGGAAACCCATGTCTAGTCGTCAGGTAACTGTATTACTCAACCTTCCCATTATGAAAAATTAGAAACTGCTGATCTTGCCCAAACTAATCACCATGGGGTGCTTTGATCAATTAATTATGATTATGGTCACGTGTAGTATCATTGAAATATCATTCATAGGTTTTTGACATCGTGCTGGCGAATTACATATATCTATCATTACAGTAGGACTATATTGAAGCAGGTAATCGTCGAAATAAGTATGTCATGCATTATCGAAAAAGCAACTCCTAAAACATCTCCTAAACCATGCGCAATTCAAACTTTTTCTAGAAATAAATATCTTCAGATGACCATGACACGTGGAATACCGATCACTGCTGCTGTACTTGGATCCTTATACTATGCACGTACACGGCTTCCTCCGCAGTACCATTTTGGCCCAAAAGGTTGGCCATTTTATGCTTTTGTGGGAGTCGCTACACTGACAACTGTCAACGTTTTCTCAATGGGAACTTGTCGCGATCGGGTTCAACCACTCGTTGAAAAATTCTATAAGAAGGTGAGCC